TAGCCCCTAGTTCTGTAGGTTAGGATTTGGGGCAGGAAAGCCGCTTCGACCTGACGACCTTCCCTAGTAAGAAGTTCAAGTATGCCAATCAACAGGAATTAGCAGACCTTCACAAGGCGATCTGTGCAAGCTTCGCTGGAAGCCATTTGCTGACCCAAGGCGAACTGTGCCCGAATTAATCTCACTCTACCAACACTTTCAGCACAATTCCGCTGCGCTGGTTTTTCCTTCGGTTATCACAATAAGAGCCCCGGATGAAACCCTTGAGTGCTCATGCCCCGGCCAAACAAATCTCCTATCTCTACACAGTCTTATATTAATACTTCAAATGAAGTATGGTGTCAAATTTTCCGAAAATTCCCATATTTTGTCATCATCTACATTTTTTATTGATTTATTTATGCTGCTCCAGCCAGTTTTTTAATCCCTTTGCCATCTGGTTTTAGTTTTTCCATTTGGTTCTGTATGGAACTGATCTGCGCCGATCTCAACAAGAATTTGATTAATTGATTTGTTTATTGCTCCAAATGAAAATTCAATATTTCAGCATGAACGACATTATTCATGATGTTTTTCTCGATTACACTAGGAATTATATGACACCTGAAGACGTCATTACCGGCACCGGTCCTTTTAAATGGTCTTTCGGTTCAAGCATATTCTTCTCATGGACTGCCATTACGACAATCGGTACGTGCATTCAGATCTCTTTAAGTGGTATAGCATTTGAGCAATGCTGAAACGAATCGTAAGTGTATTTGGCGCTAGCGTATTTGGGAGGGGCATCACTCAGGGACACGTCGTGCGCTGGGGAATCCCTAGCGGGGATCGTATTTGGTTGCTGCAGGAAGGGGGTCGCATTTGACCTGCAACTTTTTTGATCATTTTCTTGCTGGTTTAGCGCGCTATTCACTACGTTGAAGACTCCTGTAGGGGTTGAGGTGGGGGGAGGCGGTGGGGGTTGTTGCTCGTCGCTACGAGAGAGATCCACATCTTGCTCTAAAGGAATTTTTTCATGGGCGAAGAGAAATGTTTCCCGTTGTTGACTTTTTTGAGGTCCCACGTCTTATCTTCGTAAAGGGTCCTTATTTATTGGATAAGAAGTGAAGGAAATCAATGAAAAGTCAGATGAAGGCTGTGTTCAAACTTTGCGGTGGCGTCCACCACCGTCTACCAGCGTCCACCAACGACCACTAGCGTTGAGCGTCTGCCAGCGTCTGCAAGCGCCCACCAGTGTCTGTCAGCGTCCATCAGCGTTCATCAGTGAAGGGGATTAGGGAGCATGGGGAAGTAGGAGGGTAGCAATCAGCTGGAAGGCCTCGTGAAATTGCGGCGTGTGCAATCGCATCACACAAGTGCTAAGGCGAAGAGGACCATGCAATTGAATGTGCTGTGTAGTCTAGTTGTGCGGTGCGGTTACACACGTGCAATTTTACGACGCCTAATCCAGCTGTTTGCTGCCCTCCTACTTCCCCATACTCTCTACTCTCGGTCGCTTGTGGACGCTAGTGGACGCTGTTAGACGCCAGCAGACGCTGGCAGACGCTGCTGCAAGGTATGAACGCAGCAAAATGTGAAGAAAAAGACAAAATGGCTCAGACTGCGTCAAGAAACGTTTGGCGCGCGTCTCTACGACCTTCCAAATGAATGGGCCCTACATTCGCTGATCTCATGTGCATGTAATAGTGGGTTTTTCTCAACTCCTACGAAAGAACCTTGCCCTCTGAAGATAACGATCACGTCGAAAAGTCGGGCCGAAAGCGCTGACTGAACTGTTCCACCTGAAAACCTCGAACGGCAAGACATTTTTTAACTATAATAAAGTCAGCGACAATGCCGAGGTCACAAAAGAGAACAGCCAGAGATTGCGCCCTATAATCCAAAAAATAGGTAGATATCAAATTTATTTATTTTTATATTATGTCTACGGCCAATTCTATGACGTCAGCTCACGAACTTACTGACGTATCATTGTTGTAGTGACGTGCAGCACTATACTCCTCGGGGAATAGGAGTAGTCTGACGTGGCCGCATGTGCGCATCGATGACTGTTAGCACATAGATGTGTTAAAAACGAATAATATGCGTCATCATGCATAGGGTGGCGTCATCGTCGTCGTCATGGACGAAAATAAATAAGTAGTAATTGCAAGCGCTGCGGTTGTGCATTTTATAAGAAAAATATCAAAAAATTAGGACAATGTGACGCAGGGGCAAGTGGACCTCTGGCCGCTTGCGCGGTCCGGGAATCGAATCCCACTCCAACCCAGTCCAAACAAGCGTTCCACCTTCTAGAGCTGGAATTGGTAACCTTTTCCTCTGAAGAAATGAAAAAATTGTCCGATCTTTGCAGGGTCGTTTGGGAAAACTGTTTGTTCCCAGGGGTCAGTGTGTAGTACATAGCGCCTTCAATAAGCCGCTACGATTCCGAATGCAAGCAGAATGCGTGTCGCATCCCAACAAGGGACTGATCGAAGGCGAAGGTTTCGTGACTTTTGGAGATGAGAGGATCCCAAGCAACTGAACCGAAAGGGGTAGTAGAACCTTATATCCTCTGGCTATGCAAATCCAATAGCGCAGTCCCTGTCTAGTTTATGGGAGCGTTTTGCTGGTTCTCATGGATAAGAGCCTAGATGTCTTACCAAGGAAAGACATGTAATTTACCATCACCTCACCACCTGTATCACCTGTGCTCCCGTTGATCATCGAGTTCCTCGAGCGGGCGCCAGTAACGTCTCCATTCGTCCCTGCAACGTGCAAGAGTTGCCCAATGAACTCTCTCAGCTCGAGGGACACGATGAACTTCATACCATTCGTTCAGAGCTTTCACGAAGAAGTCTGACCATCGCGTAGGCGGTCTTCCAGGCGTTCGCTTGACATCCCGTGGAATCCAGTCGGTGATTGCTCTGGTCCAGCGGTCGTCCTCGAAACGCCGTGTCCGGCCCACCTGATCTTCAAAAGCTTGGCAAATGCGGCGGCGTCTCTGATCTCCGATCGTTGGCGGAA